CATCCCCCCCTCACTGCTTCCCCATTTCCATTCACCTGGACCCCTGTCAGGGAGGGACCCAGTGCTCCACATTTTTCACTTGTGGGCAGATCAGGAACCTCTAGGAAGCAAAGCTGCAGTCCCACATCATGTCTTTCTCTGGAACCTGACCCAGGCTTCCACACCTGTGCTTCCTGCCTCTCTTTCCCAGCCCTTGGTCAGGCCCCGAAGTGCTAGTGTCCTCCTTACCTTGAGAGAAAGCAGAGTCTGCAGTCCGAGACGGAACTCAGGACTCTCCACATCTGCAGGAACCACATGAAAACAAGACTCTGGAGGGTACCCGGTGGTCACTGCTGCCCTCCTGTCAGCGCGTGCCCCTTCTCGCCCAGTCCACCCCCAGGTCTGAGAATCTTGGCACAGATATTGGGGATAGTCAGAGCACCTTTGGGGACGCCTTGTCTGATGCTGACAGGGCTGAAACTCCGCCTTTGCACCCTCCCCCCCTCCCTCTGCCAGGAGAGAAGGTAGAAGAGATGAGAAGAGGGGCTATTGATGAAGGGAGGACTTACCCACCACCTGGGCTGAGCATGCCACAGTCTCCTGGCCTAGCTGTAGCTCCAGCTGCTGCACCTGGGGTGGAAGTCCAGGCGCCAGGTCCCTGTTCCCTAACCTGTAGTGGGGAAGCAAGGGTTATTGCCACTACAGCCCAAACTCCTATTCCTTTAGTCAGCTAATGTCCTCCCACCACCACCACCACCACCACACTGGGTTTTCACTCAATCCCTGGCCCCACGTAGGGTCTAAAGCAGGGGTCCTCAAACTTTTTAAACGGGGCCAGTTCACTGTCCCTCAGACCGTTGGAGGGCCGGACTATAGCTTAAAATAAAACTATGAACAAATTCCTGTGCACACTGCACATATCTTATTTTGAAGTAAAAAAACAAAACGGTAACAAATACAATATTTGTATTTGCATGTGGCCCGTGGGCCGTAGTTTGAGGATCCCTGGTCTAAAGCCTTATCTTCTCTGTCAGAGCCCCATCAACTAGATATAGTTCATATACCATAGGAGTCATCACCCTTTTAAAGTATACAATTATGTGGGTTTTTTGTATTCACAGATATATTCACTACTATCTAATTTCACAATATCATCACTCCCAAAAGAAGCCCCATTCCCCATCCACTATTTTGGGCCGTACTCTTACCCCAGGCGGGTGAGGCATCCAGTGGAGATCTGGTTGTAGTGGGTGCCTGTGTCCACGGCCACCCTAAGAACCTGGTCTTGACACTGAGAAAGAGGGTTGTGGGGGATTCAGTGAGTCCCAGGAGAATGGACTGGGACCTGCACCTTCCCAGCCTTTCAGAAATGAACGAACGGAATGAACTGTGTCTTTAAAAGTGGTTTTCATGGTACTTGTACAACTGAGAAAAAACTGGCTAAGATAAAAAAAATCAAAAAAGGAAGTGAGCTGCATGGGATGGTGAGTCCATCTATTTGGCAACAATTTGACCAGAAATGAATATCTGTTTGTCTAGAGCAGGGGTGGGGAACCACTCTTCTGCCAAGGGCCATTTGGATATTTATAACATCACTCGCAGGCCACACAAAATTATCAACTTAAAAATTAGCCTGCTATATTTGGTCAAACATTTAAACAACCCCTAATGCCTTTGCAGGGCCAGACCAAGTGATTTCGCGGGCCTTATATGGCCCACGGGCCAGACTATCCCCACCCCTGGTCTAGAGGAATTCTTGGGAGGCTGAGGGCCACCAGGTTAGAGAAATCTAGTTGGAGTAGGGGAGGGATGAGGAGACTGGGATACCTTGCTGGGAAATTCAAATGTGAGTAAGAGAGACGTTCACCATGGGAAGCAAAGGAAGACACGTTCATTTTCTTTTGGGCATATACAGACATTTTGGGTTACACTGCATATCACAAACACATGGTTTTCTTATTCCAAACTTTTTTCTTTAATCCTCATCTGAAGATACTTTTTCCATTGATTTTTTTTAGAGAGAATGTGAGAGAGACACATCAATTGGTTGTCTCCTACACACACCTCAACTGGGGCTGAGGATTGAGCCTGCAATCAAGGTATGTGTCCTTAATCAGTAATCGAACCCATGACTCTTCAGTCTGAGGACAAGCTGATGCTCTAATTAGTGAGCCAAACCAGCCAGGGCTCATTCCAAACATTTACTGAGCATCTACTATGTATAGATGTTGCTGGAAGGCACAGCAATGAATACTATTTTTTCAGAGCCTAAGGGAAGTGAAATGTAACTGCTGTATGGTAGAGTCTTAAGACCTATGAAAGGATTGTCAGTAAAGTGTCCTACAAGGAAAGGCTATTTTCTACTGGGGAAACCAAAAGGTTTCAAGGAGGAGGTAACATTTGAGGCTTAAGAGGTTGTGGAATGTGGACGTAAAATGATTGCAAAGCGGGCAGAGGAAATGCTGAGCGAAGACAGTGGCCTAAGAGCAATGGGTGTTTATTAGGAAGGTTCAGTATTGGCAGGTGGTTAAATGGCTTCAGAGATGGCAAGGTCATCACATGAGCTTTTCCAGGAGGGTTGCATTATCCATCCATGCACACACCATTATGTAGAGCACACTGAAGATCATTTACATATTTACATTTAAAGATTATACTTTGATAACAGAAAGGGAGTCGTGGTGGTGACAGCTGGAATTGCACAGAAGGAAGATGGTTTGAGGCAAAGAGTAAAGAAGATAGGGGATCCCATTTTTTGGTCCAGGCTTAGGAGAGAGGTTCCTTTTCTCCCGCCCTCCTTCCCTCACTACCCAGGGCAGAAAGGAGAGTGGGTGAAGTAAGCCAGTCACAGGCAGGTTGGTTAAGGAAAGCCAGTGCCCTGGGAGGCCCCTCACCTTGCAATTGACCAGAAGAGCTGGAACCTCTGGCGTGTTAGTCTTCCTCCTGTTCTCCTGGCCATGCATCAGGGCCTGCACCAGGGGAGACTCCCCCTGACTCCGACTCTGGTTTCCTTCTAACAGGCGTCTTTGGATCACGCTGTGCGGCTGCTAGCTCCATCACAGAACAATAAAGGAAGATAGGTCTGAAGCCAAGTATCCAGGCTGCTCGGTTCCCCGCCTTAGATATCCCAGGACATTGTCTCTAATCCCACCCAGTCCTGAGTCTCACAGGAGTAAGAAAGGGGCAGAAGCTTATTCAAGACTCCCAGCAGTTAGATAATTATAGCAGAGTGAACCCAGTATCAAATCATGCCATTTCCAGGGACCCCAATAATTGCTCAGCGATGAAGAAATGGGAAGGGAATAGCCCATCTGGGTTTGACTGATTAATATTGGCTGATGGTACATTTCAGGAGCTAGTATTATGCTTAGGGAAAATTCTGTCTCAACAGGTTTTTTGTTTGTTCAGACATTTCCACGCCCCCCCTCCCCCTTTGTTGACCTTATCCTTGAATGGGTTGCAGGTCCCAGAGTTGATGGTGTGATTAATAGGAATCAAAGTAACAAAACAAAAAAAAGGAGAAAGTTAAAATCTTCAACATTAGGATGCTGGGAGTCATCCTTGGACTCCCCTTCACCTACAACCCCCTCCCCCCAACCCTGACCAATCTCTTTCTAAATTCTACCAGTTTTGCCTCCTGTGTTTGTAGTCCATCCTGCTTGCTGTTACTGCCTTTATTCCAGACTCACCCCAGCTCTCCTGCTTCACTGGGATGCCTCTTTGCCTTCATAAGAACCTGCCTCCAGTACTGCTCAAAGCCAATGATTATCTAAAACCCTTGCTACTCAAAGTGTGGTCCTCATATCAGCAGCTTTAACATCACTTGGAAGAAATGCAGAAAAGCTACTGAATCAGAAGCTTCAATTCTAACAAGATGCCCCGATAATTGGTGTGCTCATTAAAGTTTGAGAAGCGCCCAAATGAAACAAAACTAAACATGTTACTCCTCTTTTTAAAATTCATCAAAGCACCCCCCTCCCCATTGCTTACATGGTAGAGCTCAAACTTTCTAAGGAGATCCACAGCCCAGATGACCTGGTCACTGTCCTTCTCTGCCTCATCTCACCCTTCCC